CCCCAAAACCCCAAAACCCCAAAACCCCAAAACCCCTTTACGTCATCATTATATTGATAATCTTATAATAATTATGAAAATAGCTCTTGCACTAATGTAAGTTCTTAATAGCAAAGAACCTGTGCCTGAATACATTAAGAATGAGTTCTCTCTAGATTCTTCTTAAGATTTTAACATAAACTGATCATTTAATTAGTCCTTTTCTTTAACTGTTCAATTCAATTGATCTTTTGTTAACTAATTTGGGTTTAGACTCAGCATTGCAGTATCTACCTCTTTGGCGTTCAAGCTTTTAGCTGATAGTGACACACAGGTAGCTCCGATTGCAGTTTTCGCAGGGTTTGGAGACGACTGTAGAAATCCAGGAATGAGCAGATTTGCTAAATTCTTCGGAGAAGGACTTAATACTACTTCAAAATGCATCCAGATCGGATCAGGAGCGGCTTCTTCAATCTTTATGAGCTTTGAAGATCAAGGCAAAGCTGCTTGTGAAGAGATTGCTAAAGACCCTATTTTTGATGGAGAATTCTCAGTTGTTGGTAAGCTCACAAATTATCAGTTACAGGAAACTCACAAGGTGGTCTGATTGCAAGATATGTTGTCGAGAAATGTCAAAACCTCAAAGGAAGAGTAAGAAATATGGCAACTTTTGGAGCTCCACATTTCGGAGTCGGCAAATTCCCAAGATGCTTTAAAGGAATCATCTGTGATGTCCTGAACTACGTGGTAGACTTTGGAGTTTATTGGAAAATGATTCAGAACCATGTTGGACCTGCTGGGTATTTCAGAGATGCTCATCACCTTGATTATTACAAAGATCACTCAACTTTCTTACCATCTATTAACAATGAAAGAGAATTTGACCAAGAAGCTTATGAGAGAATGGCAGGCTTGAACAAAGTGTTCCTCGGTATGTTCAGTAAAGACGGTATGATCTATCCTCCATCCTCTGCTTGGTTCAACGAGTTAAGACCAGACGGATCAATTCTGTCTTTTAACGAGACTGAACTCTACACAAAAGATTTGCTAGGACTGAAAACTCTTTACGAAGAAGGCAGAATTGTGTTCCACGAGTTTGATGGAGACCACCTACAATTCTCTCTCGATGATGTGGAGGAGTATGTGTTCCCAATATTGGCATCTTAGGCACTATTCTTTCAATATATCACACAAATAAAGGGGTTTTGGGGTTTTGGGGTTTTGGGGAGAT